ACTTTGATTCCCATTCATCAGTTCTCAAGAACTATTTCATCAAACTCAGTTGTTCCTTCATATTCAGTTTCCGATTCCCTCAAGTTTATCATTCCTTTAACTATGAATCCCGCTAAGAAAACCATAATCGAAAAGATTCTTCCTTCTGGAAAAACAATTAGAGTTCCTACTCCTCCATCAAGACCTTCTCGAGACATTCGATCTCCTTCACCACCAACATTGAACAAGTTCCCTGATGAACATTTGGTTCGAGCTCGTTTCGCCGATGATCCAAACTCTGTAATTTATGTGCATCAACGATTAGCTCATCACTCAAGTGATACAAGTTCAAATTTGTCTGAACGCTTTGCCCGATCGACTAATCCAACTCCATCTAACAGTCGAGACAATTCGAGTGAATCGAAAATGCTTCCACCTCCACCTCCACGAAACAAAAAGTACAATCAAGACAATTATGACTTTAAGTCAAATGTTTTAAGTGACGAAAGTGCTGATGAAGAAGAACTTTTGGCTATCAGATTAAGCCGTGAACCTCGTCCACCCAGTTCAACTTATCCTGACACACTCGCTCATCAAACTTATCAGGAACCTCCAAATCAATGGAATCAAAAAAACTTCGCGAAGAAGTCAAATATGATGAAAATGCCGTCTACTTCTGGAGTCAAGATTAAGACTGATTCGACCAAGAAGTCAAGTCCTGAACCTCTCATTTCAAATAATTCTCAAATTGTTCAAATTGGTAACAGTAAGTCCTCAAACTTTAACCCTAGTATTTCGAATCAGTTACCTCGATTTCCCTTCCGTCCAACTCCTATGCCTCCTAAAATCAATACTTGCCGCAAAATGTGGCCTAATAAATATCTCAAACCCGCTGACTATCCTTTTGCTAAGAACGAATATCCAGCACCTCTTCCTACTGCTCCTTTACCCTATTTCTGTTCAGATGAACATTTTCTTGAAGTAAAAGAAATAGTTAAAAAGAAAGCTCAAGTTTTCTCAACAATTAAACAAGATTTTGATAAAATGATTAGGCAAAAGATATTTGATAACGTTTATAACAATCCTGAAATTAAAACAATTTCGCTTCCTCCAGTTCCTCATGGAGTTATTAAAGCAAACATAATTAACCCTGAATTCGATTCAATTGCTGAATCAATTAGATGTATATTGTGTGAACAATATGCTATTCAGCCTCTCGAATGTAGATCATGTAAATCTTGTTATTGTTTTGAATGCATTCACTGGTTAAGAAAACTTGTTTGGACTTTGAAACTTCTTCCCCTTGCTCACAATGATCAATTCCTCTGCATTCATCCACGATGCATTCAATATCACTCGCAAAGAGATGATTATCCTTTTATTCAATCCCTCTCAAATAAAAAGACCCTCGAAATTTATAATAAATCCACTTTCAAATGTCGAAGAATCTTGTGCACTGAAAGTTTTCCTCCTGAACTCTTTCTTAAACATGAGTTAGGCTGTAGATTAGGTTTGTTCAGTGAACAAATTGTTCTCGATAACCCAATTAAAGAAATAATTACTCCAACAGTTCGTGAAGAACTCAAAAAGGCTCCTAAGAGCATCAAAAATTTCCTCCCGCATCACTTTCATGCACAAAACTTCGACCTTCCTGAAAATCATCGATCCCACGACAATCAGTGGTATGAGAAAATGCAGCTTTGGGCTTGTTTATCTCACATGAAAGATGAGAATCCCAATGATCCTTACCTTCAGCCAATTGCAATCAGATCTATTGCTAATTTCAGTTTAGGTTTTTGGGATGCTACTAAGCAAATCAAAGATCCCACTCATCCTCTTTCCGAAGGTGAATACTTTGTCCAACATATTGTTGGATTAGATCCTATTAAAGGAACAAAAGTAGATCCTAAGGTTATTAAACCTCGACCCCACACTATCACTTGGTCCAATGTCCCCTTCTACCTTCTCACTGATTCGGAAGAATGGGTAAAAGTAGCTCGAGGATTTCCTCCTAAGTTTACTCCTAGTTATCAAAAAACCGTAGCTCCTGATACCGAAGATAGACTAACTCCGTTTATCAAAATTAACCCTCTGGAAAGACTATCTCCTGAACAAATTGAAAAACTTTTTGAATTGGCTAAGCATCATTTTCCTTCTATGCGTGGATTCCGTATGGAACATATATTTCCCTCCACCACAAGTCAAAAACATCTAACCAATCGAGCAAATAAACTCGCAGTAGCAACTCGAGAATTTCATTCCCTCACTACTATTCGTATGCCAACCCTTAGAGTCAAAACTGATAGATTGATTCAAGAAAATATCAAACTCCATCCTTCTCCTGAAACTACGTTTTGCGTTCATATGGCTTACTGTCGTATTGCTGGTGTATCTGTTGATGGTTATAGTGAAGCCATGCGACCACGTCCTGTATGGGTCGTTATTGTGGATGGATACCGCAATATTGTCTACGAATCTTTAATTCGACATGATCACGTTGATCATATGGATACCCAATTTCATGGGTTAACTCCTAAAGATATCAAAGGAGCAAAATCATTTGAATCAATCAGAGACCAACTTTTGGCATTCTTCCTCTCTGCTACCGCTATCATAGGCTCTGGCCTTATAAATTTAATGCATTCTCTCGATTTACACGAAGATGAAATTTATGCATTACAGCATAAATTCAGGGAGATTACTCAATTCTTTTCTCCTTACGCTGGTTCTCCTGCCGCTTTATCTTTAGTTGCATTCTTAATGCTTCCTGGTTTCACTATTAAAGCTGAACCACACTCTCCAGCAGTTGAAGCCATTACTGGAATGAACCTTTACATGGCTCATTGGCAAGAAATTGAAACAATGGCATCAAAATTCAGAGGCATTAACCATGAGAACATCACCCGTACTTGTGGAAATGCTAAAGTCTCACGACTTCTCCAAATTTATCGAAAACGAGTTGAAACCAACCAAGCTCGTTGGCCAGCAGATTGGTCATATGTCCTAAGACATGGTAAACCTGAATTCAAGGCCCCCTGCGTTCCTCCTTCATCTTCTCCAGCATCATCTCAATATTCCAATTATGGCTCTGACTGTAATGTTTCAGTTCGTTCAATTAGCTCTGCATCTTCAACTTCCTCTGACTCAGTTCAACTTCTAGAAGATTTTGGTCTTAACGGTACTGAACCTCCAGAATACATTCCACCTGCACCTTCAAATAGCCCTCGACCTGAACTAGATCTCCCTCTAATCGATCTAACCGATGATTCAGACTCGGACTCCAATCAACCAATCATTCCACTTATCCCTGTTCAGATTCCTCAAAGTCCGGCTTCCCCTCAACATTCCTCCTCATCACAATCAACTGATTCAATTCATTCCAATTGGTCTGATGACAATGTAGCTCAAGCTACTTCTAATTCTGACACTGATTCCAACTCAAGGAAAAGAAGACATGTCAGTGGTGAAGAGCAAAACCCTGATTTCCCGCCGCCGCTCATTGAATTCGATGCACCAGCATCTCCTTCCTCTTCAATTTATTCTTATATTGCTGATCTTCTCAGAACTCCATCTCCTCCAGCATCAAACCCAAGATCATCTCCGGTATCACTTTCAGGCTCAACTTCAACAACTTCAACAACTTCAGATTCAACTTCTTCTTCCTCCGTCTCAACAACTTCAACTTCTTCTTCACATTCTTCTTTTTCCTCCTCATCTTCTTCTTCATCTTCTTCCTCCTCTTCTTCCTCATCACCTTCTAATCCACCATCAGACAGATATAGCCGAGGAAAAATCATACCAATTCCTATTCCACCGAGCCCTCTACAAAGATTACCAAGAATTCAGTATCAATCGGATACATCAAATTATTCCAATCGGTCAACCCAATCAAGATCTTCAGGATCATCAAGTTCAAGGAATACAGTCATTCAAGCCAGAGAGATTGGACCATCACAAGTTCGCTCCCACATCTTTTATCCTACAAGACAAAGATCCTCATCCCGAGATTCAGCTTCAAGTAGAGCTGCATCAATCTAAATTCAATAAGGATCAAGGTCTTAAATTCAGGGAAGTGTAGGGTAAAATTCTGATTACTGAATTTAATTCAATGCATCTCTCCTTTTGACTTTGAATCTCTGAATTCAATCTTTTTCTCATTCATTTTCATTCAAATTATAATTGTTTTTCATAAACTTAAATTGTTTTTCATTGCTCAAGCAATATTGATTCCCTCTGTCCATTAGCCATACTCAAAGATTAGTGCATCTCGAAAATTGTAATCCATCACAAGAAGTGCTTAACTGAACTAATCCATGCAAATCTGACCACAATTTTGGTTAGACCAAAACAAGAAATTTAAGGTTGAAAAATAAGCTCCAAAAAGAAAGAGTGTTAAAATTACCTTTCTTTTTTGACTCGCTTTTTAACTCATGGTTCACCTTAGTTAAGCCATAAAGCACTATTAAGGCTACCCTTATCTCTCTAGAGATATCTATGTCTCAAGACATGTAATGGTTAAAAGTACTGTAGCTTTAGCAATGCTAATTAGAGATAAGAAAAGTTTGTCACCAGTATTGTAACCTAACAGTCAGACATTTGAAGACAGAGAAATCTTTTTACTTTCTAATTATTCCCTCCAAAATTATCCTTTTGTTTCAACATTGGTATAAAACCAATTTTCCCTCTGTTTTAATTCACTTTCAATTTTTGTAAGTCACCCTTCTGTTCATTTCATTGTTATAATTAAAACCTTATTTCTCAAGAAATATTCAACCTTCTTTATGAAGCTCTTCTATTCAGTTAATTTTGATTTAATTTCAATAAAGTTATTTCAGTTAACTCTCAGTATTTTCATTGAATTGTGTTCCATCTCTCAAGAGATCTCTTCAACACTTTGTGCATGTACAAGCCAGCTAGGACATACAAGATCGGTCCTTGATACGAACTAAAAAACTTGTAGTGAAAGCAAGTATTGCAGCCTTCTAATCAGATAGCTACCGTAACCGACCTTTCAGGTCCATTTGTCAATATTAATTAATAAAAAATTGTTAGCTAGTTGCATTATTTGTCTCATGTTCATCAATCCAAACCAAACCAATATACAATTTTGATATTCATCAAAAGCATTGGCTTCTTTCATGCTATTGTAATGTCATTTGATGTTGATAGCAAAATTGATGCGAGTAGTTCATTTTTGCTGATTTCACTATGTCATTATAATTAGTTGGATGAATAAATTGTAGAGAGGAATTGGGCGAAGTCTTGTGATCTTTTAATTACTTTATTTGATCAAACCGTTATTCGAATGCATTAATACTTTCATTCCTAAATTAAAAGCTAAATTTATGATGATAAAAATTCAGTCGAGTCACTGAATTTGTCGGTCTCTAAAGCTGTCCATCCGATACCAGCACCATCTCTTATAAATAAAAAAACCATAATTATGAATTGAATTGTGTTTTGATTAGTAATTGTTATTGGTGCCTTTCGATTGTCGCGCCTCATTTGGCCTCGTACAACTGATGGACAATTGCAGGGACTCGATTGTATATGCAGTTTGAATGGGCAGAACAACAAGAAGAACGAAACAGAACAAAAGGAAGGAAAAGAGCCGAAGGAATTTCCCTAACTGATGCTTTAATTGCTGCACTTGGTTGGTTGATGGTAAGTATAAGTTTCAGTCTTGTAAAGATCAATAACTTCAGTAACGATCCGTTTTTTAGATTCTTCAGCCAAAATTTGAACAAATGCATGTCGGTTCTTTTCTATACAAACCAATTCAATCTTCTTAGATTCAGTTTGCAAAGCACTTTCGCCTGGATTGCACATCTTTACAGGGTACTTAGAGAAACAGGTTTCACTTCTTCGTTGGATGACTAAGGTTCTAAAACTAGAATTGGTAATCGATCTGGTCTTCCTTATAAGATAGGGAATGGGCAAAGTCTCAACATTAGTAGAGTTAACACTTGAACTGGATTGGATTCCAGAAGCACCAATACTTGAATCTGCATAAATAAGAATAGACAATGAAGAGAAATTTCAAAAATTTGAGAATTGAAAAAATGACAATTAAATAAACAAAACTTACCCAAAGGTTTTGGTTGAAGTTTGCTAACGCAAGTCGAGACAACAAAAAGCAACAAAATATAAAAAGAAATATTCATTTTTGATTTTCTTCAATCGTATTGATCCAAATAAAGAAGACTGATGATTTAATGTCATTGCCATCAACATTTTATACTCTTTAAGGTTCCAGTTAATCAATCTGATCATCTTTTTTAGTCATATTTATTGACCAATTCACTGTTAATGAAGACCATCTTCACTGTGACTCTGCCCATTTTCATTACAATCTCTAAGGTTGTTGTTATGGTTTATTGTTGGTTGATTAAAAAGTGCAAAAGCTATGGCTTCAGAGAGTTGTGCCCTGATATACTTTTCGGAATATTAGGTCTTAACCTATTTGGACAATTAATTTATTTAATCAAATTATTATTTGAATACTGTAGTTTTAGATTAGTGAGTTATTTTGGAAGACCTTTTTAACTTGAATATTTCAAACAATCTTAACAGTAAATAGATTGAATGGCGATTGTTATGTTTTAACAAAAAAGAGATTAGTTTCGCCATTGAAGCGCAGCATTTGACTTGACAATTAGTTAAAATAAAAGCTGCTTCATTTGAAATCATTTTTGGTGTATCCATTGTATAAATCTAGACACTACTTGAATTATTAAACTAATCATTTTATTTGAACAGAGAAAGATTTGTTTTTAGCTTGTTTAATGCTCGAATATTCCATTTGTATTATTACGGTGTCCCGATCAAAGCGGGAGACACTAAAAGTGACATATCTTTCGGCATATATGGTACATAATCATATGCTTTAGCTCATTCAAAAGGCCATTTACTCAGACACCCTAAATTCAATTCATTTTTTTCAAATAAAATTCGAATTGTTAGAGAAACGTGAATAAGAGCGAAAAGGTCAAATCGAAAAAGTGGCCTTTTTATTCTGTATTATTTTTTTTAAACATGTGTTCTGAGGTCGAAATTCAGATTTTTCGGTGTGCATAAAGTCCAAATATAAATTTATCAATATCAAAAGTCCACAATTCGCACCAAAACAGGCGGCAAATGATTTTGAAGTCATGAGTACCCTTCGATTTCGTGAAAATTTTTCATTTTTTTCAATTTTCCCATGTTAATTTTCCCTATGCAAATTCTCCTCTTTAATGAATTATGAATTTTCTATTTAATCAGCACTGACCTAGAGAGTTTTAAATTATGATATCTTGAAGTGGACAAAATTACCTTTCGAATAAACTCAAAATTATAAATGACCACGATCTAGATCAGAAAATATTCCACTTTTAGTCGCTCCCGCTTTGATCGGGACAACCTAATATAATTCAGCTTTCGATTTAAAATCAATTTTACAATAAATATCAATGATCAGTGTTCATGAGCATGTAAACATTTTGCTTTTGAAAGAGTAACAGTGAACAAAAAGAAAGAAAAACACATTTAATTCCTCGAATTGCACTTGATCTTGATTGACTTGATTGCCTATGATCTGCACTTGATTGGTGAATCGTGGTCATAAGTTCCAGTTCCGTCAAGAGAATCAAGGTCAGTGCTTCCATGAATTTCAACTTCTTTGAGCAATTTCTCGGAAAGTAATTTCTCAATTGGATTCTTTCCGAAACAAACTAAATCAATCTCACGAGGTTCAGTTTTTGTGGCTGTTTGACCTGATTTACACTGGAATATAGGATGCTTAGAGAAACAGACTTCCATTTCTCGTCGTCGAATTTCATTCCATCGTCGAATCACCAAGGTTCGAAGAGTAGGATCGCTGAGCGATCTGGTCTTCCTTATGAAAGAGGCAATTGGTGAAGGCACAACTTTAGTCTTCAATTGGGTTGTAGAATCAAGACTTGAACTGGATTGGATTCCAGAAGCATCAATGCCAGAATCTACAAATCGCTTGGTTTCCTTCAATCCTGACACAAACAAAAATAGAAAAGAGAAATCATTTTAACAATTAGATAATTAAAACAATAATAATTAATAAACAAAAACTTGCCCAAAGGTTTTGGTTGAAGTTTGCTAGCGTAAGTTGAGACAACAAAAAGTAACAAAATATAAAAAGAAATGTTCATTTTTGATTTTCTTCAATCGTATTGAACCAAATAAAGAAGACTGATAATTTAATGTTATTGCCATCAACTTTTTATACTCTTTAAGATCCAACCTAATCAACCTGATCATCTTGTCTAGTCAATATTTATTGAACAATTGAAATTAATATAATAAGTGATCTTCACATTTTATCACAGCTCTTTGGATCTACGATTCAGATGAATTACATCTTGTAATACAATTAGGTATTAGCACAGTAAATGTTGGGAAATAAGTATTTGAGTGTTTACAGTTTCATCAAAACAACTCATATTAAGTAATTTATCATGATATAATTTGCTGAATGCTAGACAGCATTTTTAATTAAACGTAAATGTTAGGTAAAAGCTCAACATAAAGTCAAATACATCGTAATAAAGACATACATAAACTTGAGCAAGAGTACAAGCACACATGTTCCTAAGAATAGTATTTTTATGCTGAGTTGAAACTTCGACTGAGACGAGACTGGTTGAGACGAAAGTCTGCACTTTATTTGGTATAATTTGCATTTTCAATCTCAAATTATTTGATTGTAACTAAAATGCGACATTGACCTTGATTCAGATGATAAATTGAAATAGTTATTGATAAACATGATTGAATCATAAATACAAGTGTTTGTAATTGAATAGACACTCACCTTAAACGCGTTATTAACGTTATTACAATTACATAAGATGTGATCACTTTAATCTTGAGCAAAACAAGAAATCGGTTATTGAATGTTTCATGTCTCAATTTATGTCTGAAAGCCTTGCACTTTTTACGCTCGACACATGAGAATATTTTATTCATTCATATTTTCAGAGTTTTGCATGTATCAGTTGAAATGATTGGGTTTTGCAAATCAAATTTGATTTTAAGTCTGGTTAATCAAATTTTGCTGTAATTGCAATCATCTGTAATATTAGCTGCAAATTCCGACAACAGAGATTAATTAGCATAATAGTTTGGAACTACTGATTTCTAAAGTTTCATCAGTTTGAATATAAGCATGAAAATTCAATATAAAATAATGATTTGATAGCAAAGTGTTTGCTGAAAAATTACCAAAAAAAAATAATCAGACTCGAATCATTGAACTTTTATTTCAACATTGCTCCCATTGCCTTAAAGGGTGTTGCGTGTCATTCATGCCAATTGGCTAATCCGAATGGAGATTAAATAACTGTAAAAGATGAAAATGTTCAACCAATGATAAGGGTTAAGATTTCATTGGCAGGACTTCACGTAACACTCTTTAGAAGCCGAACGAATTGACCTAGACTCATGAACTTTATGGTCAAGATAGTTTGGATACACAATCATAATACCTCATCATCTCTGATATTTCACTAGACATTGCTGTTCAAGGTATAAATCTTAATTAGACAAAGATCACGAATACTGTAATTTTAGATTAGTCTAGTTGTAAGTTATAACTTTGAAGACCTGTTCAACTCAAATATGGCAAACAATCATAACAGTTAATAAATTGAATGTTGATTGTTATGTTTTAACGAAAAAAAGATTGGATTCGCCATTGAATCGCAACATTTGACTTGACAATAGGATTACTCAAATTTTTAAATAGAAGTTATAATATATGATTTGAAATCATTTTTGGTGCACCCATTGTATAAACCTAGAAACTACTTGAATTTTTACACCAATCACTTTATTTGAATAGAGAATGATTTGTTTAAAGCTTTTTTCAATGCTCGAATATTCCAATTGTAATGTAGCTTTTCGGTTTAAGATCAATTTTACAATCAATATCAATGATCAGTGTTCATGAGCATGTAAACATGTTGGTTTTGAAGGAGTAACAGTGAAAAAAGCGAAAGAAAAAACACATTTAATTCCTCGAATTGATTCATGATTTGCTGCACTCGGTTGGTGAATTGTATGTATAAGTTTCAGTTCTGTCAAGAGAAGCAAGTTCAGTGATTACACGACTATCAACTTCAGTAATCAATTTTTCGTAAAGTGGATGTTGATTCTTTCCGAAACAAACCAAATCAATCTCCTTTGTTTCAGTTTTTGTTGCTGTTTCACCTTGTTTGCACACCAATTTAGGATACTTTGAGAAACAGATTTCATTTTCACGTCGAAACACCAAGGTTCGAAGATAAGGACTTCTCAGCGATCTGGTCTTCCTTATAAAAGAGGCAATTGGTAAAGGCACAACTTTAGTCTTCAATTGGGTTGTAGAGTCAAGACTTGATTGGATTCCAGAAGCATCAATGCTAGAGTACTCATTCACATATCGCTTGGTTTCCTTTAATCCTGACACAAAGAAGAATAGAAAATCAAGAGAAATCATTCAGCAATTAGATAACTGAAACATTAATAATTAATAAACAAAAACTTACCCAAAGGTTTTGGTTGAAGTTTGCTAGCGCAAGTTGAGACAACAAAAAGTAACAAAATATAAAAAGAAATGTTCATTTTTGATTTTCTTCGATTGATCCAAGAAGACTGATGATTTAATGTCATTGCCATCAACATTTTATACTCTTTGATATTCAACCTAATCAATCTGTTCATCTCGTTTAGTCAATATTTATTGAACAATTCACTGTTAATGAAGACCAACAACAAGCACGTTTTCATTACCATCTCTAAGGATCTTTGACTTGAAGCATAACTCATGCTTCAAGAGCGTCTTCAATCTGGTATCATATCACAGCAAAAGTTGAAAAACCTTTGTGATATTCAGTATTATCATAGCAAATAATATTTAAGTTGAGGCAACAGAAAGCAACAAAATATGTACAGAAATGTTCATTTTTGATTTTCCTCAATCGTATTGGTCCAAATAACCAATAAGACTGATAATTTAATTGATTGCCATCAACATTTTATACTCTTAAAGATTCAATCTAATCAATCTGATCGTCTTGTTAAGTCAATATTTGTTGAACGATTTACATTTAGTTCATACCAACCAAGCCAATGAGACAGCTTTACATTTTTATCAAATCTCTTATTTATTAAAATATTTCAAGTACTGTAAAGCCAGACTTGAGTTAACAAAAAAGGTCATAGTTAAGTTAATTTTAGGTACCGGTATCTCGAGCATATTTAGTTTGTAGAGATAAAAAACAATGCAATAGGAAACTGAACATAATTTTGATCTTATTGGTACTTATTGATGATTGTATCAGACTGATTAAGATTACGTGAACATGAATTTCAGGTTTCCTCTGATGTTGATTTTTGGCTGTCAATAAGTCTATGAAATGATCTCTTTTTTAGCAGCAAATTTAAATCCAATGAATCCACCAGCAAACGCCATAACGAATACTGCTGCTCCCAATCCGATTGCTAAATTAGAGTTACTTGATTCCTTTGGTGCTGATAATTCTGCTGAATGTGGATTAGTTTTACTCTTTCCTGTAATCTTCTTATGATTTATGTAAATCGAACAAATTTTGTTGTCATCTTTTACTTCATCAAATAGTTTAGCTTCGTTAACCTTATCTGGTTTCAAGTTGGTCAATGAACAACTCGACAATGAAGAACTACTATCGGACATTTTCTTATAATTAGTTGTTTCACAGAACTCAAATGTGAAACAATTGGGATCTGTATTGCATTTGGAAGCACAGTGTTCAAGTGATAGATGGTCAAAGGTACCAACAATTGATTCTTTTGTCTTATCTTTCAATGAAAGTCCAACTTTGTGTTCATAATCAAGTTCAGATTTTTCTGTAAAAGTGAAAAGATTGAATAATTAGTAAATATTGACCAAATTTCAAATGAATGTTAGGTTAAAGTAAAGGTTTTTACTTGAATAATGGGAACATCCAGCTTCAGCTACCTTCCAGTTTGTTGCATTTATTTGATGAGCTTTGTCTATCTCAATGTGGTTAACATGTAAGAAGCAAACAGATTCATTTCTGGAAGCAATTGGGATAAAAAATGAAAATTGATTAATCTATTCATAGATGAATACACAATAATATTACAATAACTGTATAATAATTTATGATTTGCATTCAAGATCATTATTCACATGAGGTATTAAACATTTTAAGGTTAGTCTAGGTTTCGACTTACCTTTGATAGTTATCTTGGCAATAATCAAATGATTCACAAGTGAAATCATTTGATTGAGCACATTTTTTAGCACAGTCACCAATTGGTACATTAGATGTGGTTGAGACGGCATCTAGAACTAGACTTTTGCCAGGATACTCATGGAATAGATTGATGAATGATTCTATTGAAATTGAAGAGCAAAATTAGTATACGAAATGAAAATTAATGTGACAATAGATTTACTCTGATAGATGTTGCATCCATCTGCATGGCTTGTCTTTTCTTCAAGTTTGTCTCCCAATGAACTTAATGTTTCTCCACTCAGAATACATTCCTTGTTCTGATTGATGCAATATGAAATTGTATTACAATCATCATCATTCAAGCAAGCCATGAAAACAATTTTGAAGAGAGCCTTTCTCAATCTTGAACTGTGCTTCCTTGAAATGACGATCAGATTTAATCATTGGAAAATCTTCAGTTCTTAAAGGTCTAAAGGAACCACGTCTATGGAGTTCCTGGGAAATGTCACCAATCTCGTCAGGTCCATTCACTACGAACAAATCTTCAAAGCCTCTTCCTTGAGTCTGGACTTGAATCCTTATCTGTTGTAACAAGTGTGGCATTGTCGATAAGTAATTTGCTCTAACCAATGGTGAAACATCAACCGATGAAGATCTGGAATAAAATTTGCAGTCCTTCTTGTATTCTGTTTCCACATAATCATAATACATATTTGTTTTTGCGTAAATTGAACAGTCGTAATCTGAGCAATAACTAAAATCGAAACAATTTGGCGTTGAACTGCACAGTTGCTCACAGTCCTCGACTTTAAACCTTTTTACGATATTTGAAGGATTGTTAATTGTATATGGTTGACGGTGTCGATAAGCATCAATGAAATGTACTCGATCATGCAGCTTAACAGTAAAATAAAGATTAGATTCAATTTGTTGTGTATGAATTTCACCAATGCGAGTTATTGGAATGAAATTGATCAAATAATCTTGTGTTGATCGTTTAAGGGCTTCCATATTGAAATCAGTCAGATCAGGATCTGAGTAGAAAAGTTGAAACCAAGTAAAGCTTCCAGGTTGTTCATAACAGCCAGAAACATCGAATCGATCTTCAATATCAATGTCACTGTTTTCGTAATTGATGATGGTCACTTCAACTTGAGTTGGCGCATTGGTGTATCCATTAATATAATAATAATCGCTTCGATCTGGAGTAAATATGACTTTACTTGGAGTGTAATAACTGGTGTTTAGCGTGTAATAGTAGTCGACAATGGCATCTATTCTATTGGAGAAAAAGTTAGCTGCTCTGTATTCCTCCACTTGAAAAGGTCCTAAAGGTATTTCACCAATGAAAGTTGGTGCATGATCTCGAGGTGGTTTCATTACCAGATAGTAGAAAAGATTGAAGCCACGGTCTTCATGAAAAGGCCAACGAGTTATCAGTGTAACATCTTTAGAATAATCTGATGTTAAATAGCTGCATCGACCAGTGTGTTCATCAACTTCATATCGCCCTAAAGGAGTAGGCATCTCAATGGAACGAACGAAAGCAGTTTCTTCTTGAATCTCGTATGAAATAATATCGCCTAATTTCATTACTCGAGCAGTTGATTTGATAGGGTCACGGTCAGGATAGGTGATTATCGCCTCCATGTCCATAGAAAATCTGGGAGTTTGACTGAAATCCGGCAATGGAGTAGATGGATGAGTACCTTTACGAGCACACCCATAACCCAATGGATAAGGAATGGCCTCATTAGATGATATTACCAACGGTTTGAACTTGAAAAAGTTGTAAACATATTTTTCATCGGAATCAACTTGCTTTTTAACTGTTCGAGTTTCATTTACCGAAATTACCTCTTGGGTCTCAATCCATTTAGGATAATTCAAGGAGAACCGATAAGGCAACGAGGTCTTAACATCAAAGTAAAAGTCAATGTAAGGTCCATTAGGGTTGGTACAATAAAACCAATGATTAACACTACGCCCTTCAATCAGTTCAGATCCCACGTAGGAAGCTTTATCACTTATACTGTTGGCATAAATCATCAACACTGTTGGTCCTAAATAAATGAAATCTTTGAACATCTCTGAATTAGCGACAATATCAGTTGGTTCAAACCAATCTTTGACCGATTCCACTTTCTCATTCTGGGTCAAGTCCATCCTTGTACATGTATTTTCTCGAATAGCAATCTTTTCCTCTGTTGGATGATAATAATAACGTCGGTTCATTTTATCTTGAATGGTCGCTTCCAAGTCAACAAATCCAACACTGTTTTGCCAATCATAATAATCATGGATCAAATTGTTTCGAGTTGGATTAATAACTTCAACGGAAGCATAATAACCAGTTTGTTTATCAATCAAACTGCGAACATTTGGAACCTTCAATTCACCAACTTTACCCCTTTCAGGGCATTTGAAATCATCACAGAAAATTGAGTTAATGAAGTAAAGAAAACAAAGTAAAAAAGAAAAGTTGAGATCCATTTTCATCTTCGAATCAATTGTTCATGTGTAAGATTTGGGTTAAGTAAGGTGGTTTGAATATTCAATTTACACCTAAGAGATTGATCTGAAATTGAAAAATTGTGTAAAGAAAAATTTTATCTGAACAATTAATTTATTAACATTGAGAGGGGCGTTAAGCCATTCCAGTAAGACCAAGCAAAGGTGTTGAAAAGATTAACAAACAATTTGTAAGTTTTAATCTCTTTCATGTTTAAGGTGACAATGTGTGAAATCAGATTGATGAATCAATCGTTGATGCCTTCATTGACTTTGATCAAAATTTATTGATTAAAGTCAATGAGGGCGTTCTCTGAATAAGTTCTCAGAAAAAATCTATTCATAAGATAAAAATTATCGATTAATATCATCAATTCAACGTTTTCTTCTTTAAATTGTATTAATTCTTTCAATTTAAGCCACAATAATGTTCAGCATTCCATCAACCTTAATTTTATCAACTCTCCAACATGTGATGATAGTTACTTATTGTTTATTACAATCTCATGCTATACAAAAGCCACCCACCTTAAACAACTAACTTGTGCTTAACGAAAACAGAAACAGGATCAAACTCAGTAAACTGATTAAAAATGGATGCTTTCAATGTCTGACTTAAGTTAATAGTAAAGGATTAGAGTTAATTTATGACAAGTCAGCCCTGAAAATATCTTATTCGTTTATTCTTACAGGGTTTTGGCTGACTTCCTACGAAGCTATTGGGTTTGACTAAATCAAAGTCAATCCAAGAAAGTCTGGTTCTTTCAATGCATTATTCACATTAATAGATTAAGATTCGTTTTTTTATTTTGTAAAATGCATGTTAAATCTGAGAACAATTTAGAGTTGTGTTTATAAATTTTTGAACAGAAAAAATAAAAGGATCACATGTTAGAGTCCTCGAATTGATTCCTTATCCGATACACACTCGACTGGTGAGTTGTATGTTAGTGTTTCAGTTTTGTTGAATTTAGTGATTGTAGATTTTTCAGTCCTTTTGTTGACATTTGAGTGGCTATTGCTTTTACAAAGCATATCGACTAGCTTGCGTTCAGTTTTTGAAGCCTTTTGGCCTTCTTTGCACATCTTTTGTGGAGCCAAAGATGCACATGTTGAATCTTTTCGATCAATGACCAAAGTTTGGAGAATAGGGTTGCTAGTTTTTTTATTGATTGATCGGTTAGCGCCTAATGTTGATCTGTCGTGCTTAGCAGAGAGTGAGTCTTCTGATTCACATTGTTCAGGCTCGCTGCAAGGAAGTGGTTCAATGCAGTTGTGAAGTGAATATGAGTCTCGGAAAGCGGTGAGGTTTGATGCAAGATCAACCATTTTAGGGTCTAAGAATTCAGAATAAAATTCTTGGTTTTGATTACCGCAAAGGCCACAAGTTTTACCAACAAAAAGAGGTGAAGTTGTGATTTTCAAATAATGTCCATCAAAAGCAACTCGAACATTTTCTTTGGGTAAAACAACGTTGACAACACCATCATGAATGAAGATCCGGTGAGCTTCGTGGTATTTAGAGTTTGATAACATGCCCAAACGCATAGCAGGTGTACCGGATTTTAATACAAAATCACCTTGAGCTTGATCAAAACGATCATAAACAGTCAAACTAGCAGAATCCTTCTTGACATCATAGACTTTGTAGTAGTTCTGAAGTGGAGTGTAGACTCTGATCGATCTTTCACCAGCTTTTCCTTTAACCGTAACAGCGAACTGTTTGTTTTGTGAACAATCCATTGAAGCAACGAATTCACATTCGTCCAACCAGGTTCGGTAAGTGACATTGTCAAAGGTTCGGATGGAATCCTTCATGAGAGTACAAATTTGGTCTTTTGGCATTGGTGAAGCTGAAAGGTAGTTGATTGGGTGCATTGCGGGGAAAGGTGCAACTGGAACAAAGATCTTGGTGAAGTTGACCTTTTCAGTTGGAGTTTGAACAAATAAATTGATTACTGGTCGCTTGTAGATGATGTTGGAGAAAGCGGCAGAAAACTTTACAACGTCTTGTCCACTTTCAAACCTTTCGATTGAGATGTTTGACCAAGGCTTCCAGTAGTACATGAGAGATCGTTTAAGTTCAGCGTAGACCTTTCTGATTGATTCACGAACAGGTTCTTGGACTTGTCGCCATTCAATCTTTCCGGTGACAACATTGAAGTATGCTTGTTCAGCGATAACTCGTTCACAAGCGTGGTTGGTGGCATTACCGTTCTTGATGTCCTTTTTGCATTGTTTGTGGAACCATGATTCTCGTTCCATTTCAGGGATAACTGGGTCTCTTGGTGATCGTCGGAGTTCACCTTTAACCAAGATGTTAGAGTCGGGTTGTTCTGATCGAACATTACTGGCCCATGCAATGTTGGCGATGTAGTTACCGATGAATTTTTCTGGGTTTCTCCATAAAAGATCGCTTGGGATAACTGGCCGTTCTACTTTGCCATCAATGATAGCTTTTCGAGAAACTCGTGTCCAGAGATCTTCGTTTTTGTTGTCTAAGGTTGAGTTGAATCTGAACCAATAGGCATGGTTGTCAATAGCAGTTCCTAAAGTAAGGGTTGAGTTGAATTCGGTGGGTTCTGGGTGTCCGAAAGTAGCGAGGTACAATTCGATGGATCGAGCGAAGAATGCAGGGTTGTTGATCTCGGATGGGTATCGTTGGATCAAATCTTGGACGATTCTTCGTGCATCAGTTTCTTCTGATGGGTTAGTTTCACCAATAGCAACGTATTCACCATCGATATCTTGTTCATATCTGAATGAACCAACAAAACCAGATGCTGGGTATTCCTCGTTTTGAACAAGAGTCAAGTTGATGTTGTTGTTGAATTGGTTCATTTCATTGTATTTCTCCAAAAGCCAGGCAACGGTTCCTTCACATGGGATCTCGGTTAAGTCAATGAACCAGGGTCGTTCAGTGGATAAGCCAAGGTTCAAGTTCATACCTAATTCACGGCTCTTGAATTGGACAAGAGGGTGGTTGTAAGCAGGTACCAAAGATTGGATTGTCTTCTTTGCATTAATTGGCTTTTTGTTCAAATGTCCAACGTGGCTTCTAGCGTTAAAAGCAAAGTTTTTGTTTGATGAATGGAAGTTGGTCTTATGAAAAACGGGTTTGATTGCATATGTGAATTTATTATCTTTTAAGTCCCATCCAAAGTTCAAGTTGAGAGGAACAAATGAGTTGAACATTTTAGAGTTGTGAACACCATAGTTGGCTTCTATTTCGAGTCCTTGGTTAAACACTGAGAGGGAAAAGTCTGATGATGTGAACATTTGTGGCGTAACTTTGAAGTTGATGTTTCCTGATGTGAATCCTAAAGTTTGACTAGTCTCTAAGTCAGATTTAGTCAATCGAAGGGAAACAATTTGATTGTTTTGTTTGATGGCAGCAATTGGTAAACCAATGGCAGTTGGAACAATATCGGTATAAGTTGATGGCATATAGAATCGAACCCAGTTGAAATCAACTTGATTCTTTGAGGCATCAGAAACAAAATTACGCATAACACGTACAAATTGTTTGTAGGCATTTTTCAAAGTGTATTTGTCCATAGTAAATAGAGAAGTTTGCTCATAAACTCGAACGAAAAATTTGAGCATAAATTCTTCCTCGTCTCTAGATTCAACTCCAAGATCTTCCCAAAGATCATCGATCTTCCGGGGATCTCTTGCCATTGTTTTGGTGGCAACCTTCAAATGTTTCAAAGCACTTTCCAATCCTTTCTGCTGGAATGCAAGACTGAACCATGGATTTGAGAGAGATTTCCAGTGTGAACCGATGTTAACGTAACCATGTCTAGGGATGTAAGAAACATTGTTAGCTACAAATCGACCATTGGCGAAGAAACCAGTTGATTTGTCAGTTGAATACCATTCATTGTAAGAGGCTTGAGAGTAGACTCCATCGAGGTTGACTTCGGGAAGAGTGGCAACGATTTCACGGGCAGCTTGAGCTAAGGGTTGGTGGCAAGCTTGGGTGAGGTTAGCAGTTTCTTCCAAGATGGATCGAACCATGGTGATAACTTGATGGTTGGTTTCATTTCGGAGTGAAACGGCAACAGATTCAAGTTCGTGTCTTTTAGGTACGGTAGACATGAAAACAGTGAAAGCAGCTAATCGTACTTCATAGGGTTCGGTCTTAGTGTTGAAGATGGTTGAAACTAGGGATCGGACTCGTTTAGGTTCAACTGGAATCATGTGGTGAAGAGAGTAGATGACTGTGGTTCTGAAGAAGGCACATTCGGAGACGTCACCAGGGCATACAAATTCACCCTTTGCATAAGGTGTAAGGTTCAAGAGAGCAATAAATTTACCCGAATGAGCCAAAGCTTGAGCGATCAAAAGTTTACCTCTCATAGATTGAGTTCGTACAAGGTTCATAGCTAGTCCAACAACATATTCAAATGTATCCTGAACGCTGCACTCTTCGCTCTCTGGTTCCTCTTTCATTACAAAAGATGCTCCTGGGTTTGGACAAGCTTTGGCTATAAGTTTACCATAAGCGACGACAAAAGCAGAAAGGGAATCCCAATCTTGCTGAACAATACAAGAATAAATCTTCTTCTCCAATAAGTTAATCAAACTTGTGGGTGGGACATGAATATTGAGGGGTAATGTTTCGACAACCTGGCGTACTTCAATTGGGAATAATCCATTCGGAGTTAAATTCATTACTTCGTCCAGCCATATGACAGCTTCATGGGTTCCAACATGAGAAATAGCGTCAAGAAACAGTTGTCTTCGAACTGAATTCAAAGTGTTGGTGTAAAGTTGATCCTCTTTAACGATACAGTTTCTTTGTAGACATCCATGATTGTGCCAAAATCAAGATGATCCAGATTTTGAATAATTCTTGTCATAATTCGAGCAACATTAAGCTGGTTTTTATTTTCATTTTTTTCGTCATTTGCTTTTCCAATTATGGTTTCAGCAACTTGAGTTAAAAGATTATAAGTAAATTCTCTCAATCTGAATCTTGCAACATAGTTTCGTGGAGGCATTGGAACCAAAAGGTTGTATATTGGAATCTCATGAGTATATACGCTAGCAGATGAACCAGCATAAGGGTAAAGAGTAAAGGCTAGGTTTGAAACTCGAATAGCATTGTTTTCATTGATAAGATCCAATGGCGCACCTGAGATTCTGACGAATCTAAGAGTCTGTTTGGTGTAGGAAATGAATCGAGTGCCATGATTGTCGAAGATAACTTTACTGTTACTTTCAGCATTCAAAATGTAGGGATTTTCCATGCATTCAATGGAGTAAGTGCTGGTTGACTGTTGGTCAAGAGGATCTTGAGTGTCACAAGAGCATTCAGATTTTTCAGCTCCATAATAGTTGTTGATTTTGAATTGACCCAAAATTGGTGTTTTTTTGCAGTGTGCAGCACAATTTCGTGCCCAGTTATGGCGAATCAATTCAGATGCGTTGTTACAGTTTTGGTAGTTTCGTGTCTTGATGACTTTCCAGTAGAATTGTTCACTTCCAGGTAAACCAGAGACAGTTTCAGGAAGAGCATTGATGACTTGGTACATGGTTTCACATTCACCCTTTGAGGTTGGTTCGTAGACATCAAAAGAGTGGTGAATCTCATCTCGTGAATGTTTAGTTAAATCATGTTCATGATTATGATTCATTTTCAACTGTTTACCAGCAATGTCGACCAAAAACATCTCGATGATGGCTTTCTTAATGTTGAGTGACCATGGTTCGTCCATTTTATCAACTTCGACCCATTCAAAATGTTTGGTTACATCATTGACGTGATATTGAACAGTTAATTCCAAGAGTTCTTTCTTCTCGGAATTTTCTTTATCAAAATTGACAAAATGTACATCATCTGGGTTGGTTATTTCATCAAGGACTTGAGTAAAACTAATGTTGGCCAAACGCATTGCGTTCAAATGAACACCATTTTCACTAACAATGTGGGAAATCTCAACATTAGCCTGCAATCGAGTTCCAGAGTAAAGACTTGAACTAGATGGGATTCCGGTAACGACGCTTCCAATGTATTCATATACGTATCGTTTGTTTTCCTCGAACTCTGAGAAGTGAAAAGAAAATCACAAAACAATTTAATAATCAGTTTCTCAGAACAACTAGTTAACAAACAAATATTAAGTATCCATATCATTTTCATATTCAATGAATATGAAACTTACCTAAAGATTTGGGTTTGAGTTGACCAGCACAAGCTGAGACAACAAGAAGTGCCAAAATACTAAGAAAAATCTTCATTTCGATTTGATTCTCCAATCGTATTGATCCAAAAGGAGAAGACTAAAATTTCTTTTCTTCATCACCAACCTTTTATGCTGTTCTGACCTTATCTTAATCAATCAAATCATCTTGTTTAGTCGACGTTAATTGAAAAATTTACTCAACTCAGCATTTTTACTCGTTCTTATCATAGTCTCCATGAATCTGAGATCTACTTGAATCGTCATTCTATTAGTTGAACCCGTTCGATTGAACATCAGTTATTATCAATGCTAAATAATCATTTTAGTACAAGTATAACATGTTTACTCAGAATCAGTTTGATCACAATCAAATCAAATAGCAAAATGTGAAAAGTAGCTGAGCATTTTCAGTGTCCACCATATTGTCCAGTGTCATATGTCCAGTCCATGATGATTTGATAAGACAATTTGATAAACTATATGAGTGCAAACAGTATTTTTAAATGACCCAAAACATTAGTAATAGAATTTGTAGAATAGAAGCTGAAGAAAAACCTCAGCATAAAGTTAATAGCATTGAGTTACAGTCGAGTACCTAAAATTGCTTGCAAACTCAAATCTGGTTAATTTACTATCATATTTGATAAAAAGTTGTTGATCGACAGAGTCTGCTGATTAGCTACTCAAATTGTTGTTGTTGATTGAATTTACCGATTTATTTTCATTTAATTAAAAAATGAGAACTTAAAGATGATTTTAACAATAATTCCCTTTGATTTTGTCTCAATTTCATGATTCATGCTTTTCAATTGTAAAATTTTGCAGATGAACCTCACTGAAATACAAGCTCACAGTTATGTCACCGAATAGAGAACTTTTAGAGCATAACACGAAATCAAAAGTCTGATCTATTGAAGGTTTCACCGAGTCAGTAAATTCTTACCTTGTACTTGATACCTTCACTGGCTTCATTTATATTATTTGCTGTTGAGACGTTCCTTCAAATTACCTTCATGTTTACCACTCAGAAAGTCTCCGCACCTCGGCTTTAAGCTCATCGATGAACTCATAAAAATTATGGTAAAATGAAAATTATTGATCAATATTCATCTCATTTTCTGTAATCCAAAACCGAAAATATTCGATTGTTTGATTTTCATAGTTTTGGATTGATTGGTCAGAGTATCTGGCTCGAAATTGATTAATAGCTGTAGCAATTGAACAATTTATTTTTGTTGATCACTTACTATTTCGTTATAATTAGTTTTGTAAATGAATTGAAATAAAAGTAAATATAATGTAATCTTTTAATTACTTTATTTAATCATAATTATTTTTATAGATTTGTTTTTGTTTTGTAAATTGCCTTTTCAGAACAACTTTACAGCAATATTTATAAATTTGTATATGTTTTACGTTTATCGCTTGAGACTAACAGGGAACAGAAGATGACAAAGATCCCTTGAATTCCTCTGATCACTGATTAAGCTAAACACTTAGCTGGTTGTTCGTAACGTAAAGTTTCAGTTGTTTTCATATTTGCAACTTCCAAAACGATCTTCCATTCAGTTTGATCAGCCCAAACACGCGCGATTGGGAGTATTTTCCCTCTTAGACAAGCTATTTCAACATCTGTAGTTTGAGTTTCAATAGGCTTTTCGCCATTTCTGCATTCGAATACTGGGAACTTAGAGAAACAGATTTCCTTTTCTCGTCTGATGACTAAGGTTTTTAACATAGGGTAGGTAATGGACTTCTTTTCTGATTTACCGGCAGAGAGAAACTTTGGTGATCTTCTTTGGTACGCCATTGCGTCAACATCACAAACGTCATCGTGACATGGGTTTGGGTCAGTGCAGTTGTGGAGTGAGTATGAGTCTCGGAAAGCGGTGAGGTTTGATGCAAGATTAACCATTCCAGGGTCTAAGAATTCAGAATAAAATTCTTGGTTTTGGTTACCGCAAAGTCCACAGGTCTTACCAACAAAAGAGGTGAGGTTGTGATCTTCAAGTAATGTCCATCAAAAGCAACTCGAATATTTTCTTTGGGTAAAACAACGTTAACAACACCATCGTGCATGAAGATTTGGTGAGCTTCATGGTATCGTGTGTTGTGTAACATGTCTAAACGAATGGCGGGTTTACCGGGTGTTAATACATAGTCAGGTCCTTGTTGTTGGTCGAAACGGTTGAAGACAGTCAAACTAGCAGAATCCTTCTTGACATCATAGAGTTTGTAGTAGTTTTGGAGTGGAGTGTAGACTCTTACGGTTCGTTTACCAGCTTGTCCTTTAACGGTAACAGCGAACTGCTTGCTTTGTGAACAATCCATGGAAACAACGAATTCACATTCGTCTAACCAAGTATTGTAAGTGACATTGTCAAAGGTTCGGACTGAATTTTTCATGAGAGTACAAGTTTGGTCTTTTGGCATTGGTGAAGCTTTAAGGTAGTTGATTGGGTGCATTGCGGGGAAAAGTGCAACTGGAACAAAGATCTTGGTGTAGTTAACCTTTTCAGTTGGAGTTTGAACAAATAAATTGATTACTGGTCGTTTGTAGATGATGTTGGAGTAAGCGGCAGCAAAGGTTACGACATCTTGTTCACCTTCGAATCTCTCAGATGAGATGTTTGACCATGGCTTCCAGTAGTACATGAGGGATCGTTTAAGTTCAGAGTAGACCTTTCTGATTGATTCTCGAACAGGTTCTTGGACTTCTCGGAATTCAATCTTTCCGGTGACAACATTGAAGTATGCTTGTTCAGCGATAACTCGTTCACAAGCGTGGTTGGTGGCATTACCGTTCTTGATGTCCTTTTTGCATTGTTTGTGGAACCATGATTCTCGTTCCATTTCAGGGATAACTGGGTCTCTTGGTGATCGTCGGAGTTCACCTTTAACCAAGATGTTAGAGTCGAGTTGTTCTGATCGAACATTACTGGCCCATGCAATGTTGGCGATGTAGTTACCGATGAATTTTTCTGGGTTTCTCCATAAGAGATCGCTTGGGATAACTGGTCGTTCTACTTTACCATCAATGATAGCTTTTCGAGCAACTCGGGTCCACAAATCTTCGTTTTTGTTGTCTAAGGTTGAGTTTAATCTGAACCAATAGGCATGGTTGTCAATAGCAGATCCTAAAGTAAGAGTTGAGTTGAATTCGGTGGGTTCTGGGTGTCCGAAAGTAGCGAGGTAGAATTCGATGGATCGAGCAAAGAATGCAGGGTCGTTGATTTCGGATG